TTATCACAAAATTTTAATAAAAAATATTATTATTTCAATACTAATTAATTTTGATTAAAATTAATCAAACTCGATTAAAATTAATTAAGCCCGATTAAAATTAGTCAGGCTCGATTAAAATTAATCAAGCCCAAACTAATCTCAAATTTTATTGAGTTTCATATGTTTTATAGTACAAAAATTTATTTTCTTAAATATTTCTTATCGATGTGGGATATATTTATAGTGTAAAACCTTATTCTCTTATATGTTTTTTTATCGATGTGGGATGTATTGATTAGAGAAAATTGATAATTTTTAGTAATGAAATATATTTTTTAGTGATAAATTATTTGGTTATCATTGAATGTGTGAGGTATATATGACCAATATTAAAATTTTGTCATAATTGTAATGCATTATAGTGATGATTTTTATCGAAAAAAACTTATTTTATCTGTATGAACATTTTTTTTTTTACGAAATATATTTTTTATGATGAATTTTTTTGTTTATCATTAAATATGTATGCATCTGTGACTATTTTTTTAGATCTGTCACAATTGTGATAAGTTATAATGATGATTTTAAAATTTATCACAAATTTCTGTCACCAAAAATCATTTTTCTTGTAGTGCTTTTTATTTTTGAACAGAAAAAAATAATATTTATTAATAAATGGAGTTCAAGGGTACCCCAAATCTATAAATATCATAACTTAAAAGTCATCATATTACATGAATGGAATAACCCTTCCGTATGGTATCGACTCTTGAATTATGTATCAACACTACGGCTGCGGAATAACCCTTCCGTATGGTATCGACTCCTGAATTATGTATCAACACTACGGCTGCATTGGAGTTCTGGATGCTTACCATATGGTGTCGACACCAAAATTATGTGTCGACACAACACCCATGTCGTTCTGTCCTCTTTTGCAGTTTCTTCATATAGTTTTGATTCTAAAAAACTTCTCACTTGTCAAACCCACTGGCACGCAAAGGAACAGCTATGTTATCATCGTACTAACAAAAGTTTGAGATTAGAGTTTCTTTTTCCGACCACCTGTCATACCAGCTCCATTATTTTGTGGTATATGTGTTTGTATATTATCTGATCTTATGATCAACAAAACCACATGCCTTTGATAATTAATTAAGTAATATGACAAGCTCAGATTGCTGGCAACTTTGGGGCAGTTGATAACTCAAATGATTCACACATGCATGCTGTCTATTTTCATCTTTGATTCAACCAATCCACTTCATTCTTTTCGCTTCAACAGGTCTTTTTTTTTTTAAAGGAAATGATTTAGACACTACGTTGCGTCACATTGCCATCTTGCACAATTTCGAGATTCGTAGCCCCCAACTACCCAGCATTATGTCGAGATGGGACTTTCCAAATGAAATTATGGCACAAAGTTATTAACTCATTTCCCCTTTTTTATCTCTTGTAATCGGGCCGGATCAATAGGCTTCAATCGCCAGGCCGAGGTACGGCCCAGTATGTTAGTCCTCGCCCTGCCTAATGGGCTGTTTGGGTTGTTTAGCATCTCAGAATCGAATCCAGATGTGCCCTAAAAAGCGTTGACTTCCTGCAACTGACGGCAGCATTAATCCTAGAGACATCCAGTTCTTGAATTCAAGAGAGGAAGACAGAAAACAAACGGTGAGAGAGAGAGAGATCGAATTATCAAAGAAGCAAAGAAAAGAGTAGTGAGAGATGAGTCCGAACGTGAGTGCTCTGTTGATCGGACTGGTGGGCGCCGTCATCACCTTGTCGGCTTACTCGCAGACTCTGGTCTCTCCGACGCAGTGCGTCACCGTCGGCCTTCTCGTCCTTATCTTCGGTTTGCTTGTAAAAGAAGGTCTCATATCTCTGTAACCTCTATCTCCATCTCTGTTCGACCGTACACCTTCGAAGTTGACTTTGAATATCTGTGTATTTACTTTTCTTTTTTTGGTCCTTCTGTTGTATTTTCTGAAACTTTGGAAATTTGAGCTGTATTTCAATTTCAATTATTATTTGGACTTGCTTGCCTTCCAATTTTCTTGGAAATAATGATATAATTTTTTTTTAAGCAACAATGTTTAATCTCAGAAATTCCCTTTACAAGGTAAACAATTTTCAACAATTTTTCTGAGACTTAATTCCATTCCATTCCATTATGGAATTTTTATTTAGGTCCAAAAGTTTTTTCCGGAAAAATTTAAAAGAAAAAATTGTTATAAAAAAAGAAAACTGTTTTAGTCTCCATGATAAAATATTAATTCTGAATGAGGATAATTTTTTGATGTTATGAATTATTTTTTATTTAAAATTTTTTATTTTATAATTTAAACCGTTTAAATTATACAATATTTTTATTTATTTTTTATTTTCATGATAGGTGAATGTTATAATACCAGTAGTATTCACTAGTTTTCAACGTCAAATTCTTTCCTGCGTATTGTCTTCACTCTCACTTTACAAATTCGATAAATCCATCATTGTCCTTTTTTTCAATGATTGAAAATTAAAATTAATAGCAGAGAGATAAAATCGACACATCAAGCTTAGAGGACGAGACCAAACACTTCGATCACCTGGTCAGTTGGTCCGATGTTCATGCCAAACTTCAGATAAATTAATTTAACAATACATGTATGTACTGAGTACCATATATATTTGATTTTAATGAGATCTGTCATGTCCTTATTTTTCATGAATGGTTATTTTTTATACAATTGGTGATGATTTTTTTTTTTTTTTTGTTTAACGATATTTTGTGCAGAGCTTTTTTAAAT